GTGTTCTTGTACTGAGGGAATACTTGAGTGGAGGCCCAATGTCCATCTGCTACCTTAATACTAAACCTATAAATATATGCACAGAGATATATTTTCCCATTATCGTATATAAATATATTCACATATGTACATGCCTGTATTTAGACCTCTATACATGCCCTTTGCCTCCTACTTCCATCTTCTATTTCCTTTTACTTTCCTCTTGTCCCACTATCATGTTCAGCTTTCATTTCAGTTTCAGTAATTCCTTTTGGTTACATTGCCCTTGATCAAGCCCTACCAGGCCTCCTATACCTCCTTGCCATTGATTTTAGATCACTTGTTGTTCCTTTGTCCCTGGGGTTGACACCCACTTCCTGTCCTCCACTGCCCCCTCTCGTATTCCATCCCCCTCCTCTGGAACCATCCATCCTATTGTTTTCTCCTTCAGATTGTTTATCCCATCTATCTTATTTAGATAGACCTGCAGAGACAATAATGCACACAAAAAACAAGACCTTTCTGTCATTTTTTGTGTTCTTTGTTAACTATCTCTTTTATGTTTGCAGATTCTTTCTTAAAATAATTAATATACTTAATTGACAGTGTTTATGGACTTATAGCATTATACCTCTATAGTTATAAAAATTATCAAGTTTGAACCTATTACCATAGAATTAATTCTGACTCATGTGTACTTCTGACTCATGACTCCATGTGTCAAAAGTAGACATAAGATTTTCAGTAGCTGTAATCTTATGAAAAATCACCAAACTTTTCTTCGAGCATCGCTCGACAAATCCAAGTCACCAATCTTTTGGACAGTAGTCAAGCTCACATTATACCTACTCAGGGACCTCATTGTAAGTCATAGAGCTTGTGCCATGGAGTCAAACAGAAAGATATAAATTCAAGCTCTGCCCTTTACTTGCTCTACATTGAAGAGTAAGCCACTTGCCTTTTCTAACATAATATTTTTCTCAGATAATAATTCCACCTTATTTCTCAAAAAGAAAAAATAACTCAAACTCCCTGCCATCAAGCTGATTCAGAGTCATAGCAACCCCACAGGACAGAGGAGAAGCCCTGTGTGTTTCCAAAGCTGTAACTCTTTACAGAAGCAAAACCTGCAACTTTCTCCCTTGGATTGGCTGTTGACCTTGCAGTTAGAAGGTGAATGTATAACCCTCCATGCCATAAGGTGTCCGACGTTATTGCTAGGACTAAACCATGTGCTCGGTCCTCACTCACTGCCATCAAGTCAATGCTGACTCTTAGTGACCCCTTTGTGGGTTTCTGAGACTCTAACTGTTTGCAGGAGTAGAAAACCCAGTGTTTCTCCCACAAACTGCCAACCATGTGGATTGCAGCCCACATCTTAAATACTGGATAATAAAGGTGGTAACATAATGATTTCAGTGAAGTCGTTTTGGGCCTTGAAGACTATATGTTTTATGGTATTATCTGCTGTTATCTGATTTGAATTTATTATTCTAGTGTGCATTGTACTGAGATTACCTATCTGTGACAGCTGCTTAGTCGGCTACTGTCAGGCCAGTTTTGATGTCTGGAACACAGTAATGATGTTGACGATGAAATATAGGAATTCTCAGCCTCTGGGAATTCTGTGAAACATGCCCACCTTTTGATGTCCTGCAGTTCCAGAACTCATTGATGGAAAGACGTTCACAGCGACTGTGGTGGGCTTGAACCCGTGGGTGGAATACGAATTCCGCACAGTTGCAGCCAATGTGATTGGGATTGGGGAACCAAGCCGGCCCTCAGAGAAACGGAGGACAGAAGAGGCCCGTGAGTAGCTCCCAGCATATAGCTGGTTCATTCCAGTTGCTACTGTTATTTAGGGAAAAGGTTTTCACTCTCTCAGCTCTTCAGCCCATATGAGGCTCTGTATTAGCATACGCTTTCTCTTGAATAATTATTAGAATGAATGGAAATCAAGCCTCTAGTAGAAAAGCTGAACAGCCAGTGAGATTCCCTCAAGAGTTAGGTTCTCGCCAGTCTCTGCATCCCTACTATGTGTGTAAACACAGACTGCAGTGCTTGGTTGAGCCATTT